GTCCCAGGCCAGCTTGGATGGATCTCTGAGCACCCTGGGCTGGTGGAAGATGTCCCTGCTGATGGCAGGGGGGTTGGAACCAGATGAGCTTTCAGGTCCCTTCCAGCCCAAACCATCCCATGATTCTATGATTCTAAGGCAGCCAGCTCGGAGGGCTGAGCCATGCTGCCATGGGCAGACCCCACCAGAGCCCAGGACTCGCCTGGAGACCACCTCAGCTGGTGGCCTTGCAGCATCGCTGTCCTGGCGTGGGGAGGGGTCTCCTGCAGCAAAGGCTGTGCACGGGGCTGAGGGGCTGCTCTCGGGCTGGTACCCGGGGAGCCACAGTGACACTCCCCTACGGAAAAGCTCTGTCCATGCAGGAGGCTGAGGAGCACCTTCATCCCCATCCCAGTTAAACTCTGTGGGGACTAAGTTCTGTCCTTAACCTTGACATGAATTCAGAGGCATTTCAGAGGTCTAAAATGGGCTGGGTCCAAGCAACCAGGGCTGGCTGGGATGATGTGTAAGAGCCTTTTATCAAACTCCCCCCCATCACCCCAGAACGGTGCCATCCTGGCACCCTGACCCCCTCCATACCTGCCCTTGGTCATCCCGTTCCAACACTTGTCATCCGCCGCTGAGCTGGCCACTACTTTTTTGCTGCAGAGGCTGCCGGGCAGGGTGACCCAGTAGGTCTTGAGAGCTGTCAGGTTCCCTTTGGCATCTAGAACCTGCAAAGAAAGAGGGTGCTCGGGGCCAGGAGAGCTCTGCGGGGCCGGGGCTGGGGAAAGGACAAGGAGTCTGCCTTCTTTTGGTCTCATTTTACCACCACAAAGCTTGGTTTTATGCAGATGGGGATGTGTCACCAACCTTCCCCTAAGGACCAGCCCTCAACCCAAGCACCCAAGGCTGCAGGTTCCACGCTAAGGACTGTTCTGGTGCCATAGGACTAACCAGGAGACGACCATCTTCTGGGCCGTGAGGGCACTGCTGACAACAGGCAGGGCTGTGCCAGGGTGGGATGGGCAGGTGTCAGTGAGCGAGGAGCCTCTGAAACATGGGGCCATGGCAGATCCCATAGCTCAAAGCCCACAGAATCCAAAATCTCCATGGTGGAGGACCTCTGGGAGCAGCATCCAGCCTGGACTGCCTGAGGCTGAATGACACCAATGGCAAGGAGCCTTTTCAGACAAGTTTGGCACCAAACCCCTGAGAAATTGGTTACCGGCAACCTAGACCCTGTGCTGAGGCAGGATCAGATCTGCTTAGGTCATGCCAGCACTTGCTGATCTGAGCTTCTTCTGGATCTTCTCATAGCAGCCTTCCAGTACCTGAAGGGGCCTACAAGAAAGCTGGAGAGGGACTTTTTACAAGGGTGTGGAGCGATAGGACAAGGGGGAACGGCTGTAAACTAAAAAAGGGCAGATTTAGATGAGATATTGGGAAGAAATTCGTCCCCATGAGGGTGGTGAGGCCCTGGCCCAGGTTGCCCAGAGAAGCTGTGGCTGCCCCCTCCCTGGCAGTGTCCAAGGCCAGGTTGGACGGGGCTTGGAGCACCCTGGGCTGGTGGAAGAGGTCCTTGCCCATGGCAGGGTGGGTGGAACAAGGTGACCTGTAAGGTCCCTTCCAACCCAAACCACACCGTGATTCTTCAGAGCCGCAGCAAAGGCGTGGTCTGCCCCGACCCACCGGTGGGGAGGGGGCTC